GCCAAATCATTGTGTTCACTGGCTTGCTCAACAGCCTTATGCCAACAAAGCCCTGGGCTGGACAAGGAAGGACAGTCTTACCACACCCGATTTCTCTCTCCTGCATTAAGAAGTGCTTGGGGGAAAATTAAATTTGGGGATTCATCTGACATTTCTAAGTCTATATTCCAATTTACACAGATCTTCTCGGATCCAGGATCTTGGAAGCCAAACAAAATGGACTTCCCACTAGCAATTGTATTCTTGAGCTTCATCCATCTCCTGGAAATCCAGAGAACAAGAAAACCCACAGCTCTTCAATCAACAGCGAGTCAACTTTTTCACCTTATTTCTTAAAACAGCTCATCCAGGGACATTCCTGGATCCTAGTAGTAAGATAATAACAGCATCACCACTTCTACACTGTTAAGTTAAAAGGAGTATTTCTACATAATGTGATTTTCAATTCTTCCACATGAGTGGCTTTCGGACCCCAGACTCAGTGAGTCCAACCGAGTTCAGTCAGAAGCCCTCGCCCCGCTAAGGAGCAGCAGCCGCACAGGGACACAGGGAATCAGAGGAGCCAGAGCTCTTCTGCAGGTGCCTCTCAGATACCTTAGCAGCTTTGTTGTAAATAGATAATTAAATTACAGACATTATAAAAAGAACTTAAAGAACCTACAGAAAAAAAGCAAACTTTTGTGGTGTTAAGATTCTTGGGCTGGTCGTTTCTAAGCTAAATTCATTATGACTTCATCATCATCATCACCACCACCACCACCGCTTTACAACTGCAATCCCTTTTTTCACTGTCATTGCTTTCATCAGGGCAGGGTCTACTTCATTGCTTTGTCTGCCCTTCATCCTCAGTGATTGTGTTTGGCTCATGAGTGGTTCAAAAAGCCAATAAATATTTCACAAATAAAGGAGTTATTCATTTATAGCTGGAAAAAGAATCACACTGTGGTTTGGTTACTTAAAATTACTGCAATAGATAATCATGAAGACATCCAACTTGGCAACATTTTTGCTTAACAACAGCTCCCCAATTTATACAGCTTCCCTCTCTTTCTCCCCCCTCCCCCGAAAAACTATGGACGCAGTATCCAAGGGCAAAAGGCAAGAAGCTAGATGGAACCTAGGAGTCCTAGCCCAATAGACTGCAGCCCTCAGCGCCTGAGTTCTCTTGCAAAATAAATTGCACAGCAGGAGGACTTATAAATATTTGGTCCTGTTACAGTAGACAGTATGTACACAGCAGGAAATAATACGTTTATTTCAGAATTCACCCCATTGTCGCTTCCTGCTTACTCTATCCCCCATAATGCTAGCAAGTCTTGTAAAAAGCAGACTTTGAATAAAATTTTAATGGCTTGAAATACTTGCTATTAGTCTTCTGGAATTTTTTTCAAGAATAGCAAGGAGAAATCTTGATTTTTTTTCCTTTTGTTTATAACCCAGTGAACAGTTAATTTTGCATATTCAAATAAGGCACAAATTACTTGCAATATATTAAGACAATGACATTATTTGTGAGTGGCTCCCTAGCCTCAAAACAACACAAAATCACAGGCAAACATCCTGGGAGGTCACTGCAAGACAGGAAGAGGAAGCTCGGTGGCGGTGGTATATTTGCTAAGCAAATGGAACAGAACCCAAAGGTGGGTCTAAGTGACACCTGTGACTACGCCACCCTTCAAACTGTGAGTTCTGAACAGAAAACTCATCTTGCCTCCAAATCAGAACAACAGGCTTCTTTGTGTCCTCCCCTCAACCTCTGAAGGAAGATTTGCCAGACAGGCAGAGCACAAAAGCCACTCTCACTTAAAACTGCTCTTCGGCTGTGTAGATTTCTTTTGTTGTTTATTTGGTATCTTGGAATTGATAGTAAGCATGTAAAATCAAAAAATGACCAATTCTTAGAACCTTCCCTGCGTACTTTTAAAATCAAGATTAAATATTCTTTAGTATGTACAATCTATCCGTGTAACAGAAGCAATGTGTATATCCCTTCCAGTCATGAATAAGCCATGACCTCAAGTAAAACATCTATTTAGAGTTCGGAATGTACTTGGTCGTTTTCTTTAAAAAAAAAAAATGACATGAGTAAACATATTTAAGTAATATTTTTAATTGAAATCATATTCTTCTAGTAAATTCTTTAGAAGATGATCCTATTGGGACTCTTGAGTCATTCCTCAAGCATTCTTAAGTTACTTTTAGCATCCATTTGGAGGGTAGGAGCAGGTGCTGCGCGCGTAGGGTCACAAGTGACTCATCACTAGGTGCGTGCGCCTGAGGGGGAGGAGGGGAGAGGGAATGCTGGGCCTGAAACTTCAGAGCCACTTTTGGCTTTCTGGTGGTTTCCTGGAGATAAGCGTCTCACAGACCTTCCTATCCGGGCTGACTTCGAACCGTGATCCTCCGATCTCGGCCCCCGAGGAGCTAGGGCACCTCGCTGACCACTAGGAATGGACCTGGGGCCGTCTGGCCTAACACGATGCAGTGAATGCGCTTCCCTCTCCGACCCACGCCCGGGCCTGAAGGGGAGGCCGCAGGCGTGCACATCCAGCAGGACCAACTCCAAGTCACGCATCCAGACACCGCCCACCCGCTCCTACAGAACAGTCTAGAAGGGGGCGTGGCCGGGAAGCAGCCACTTCACAGTGGAGAAAGTCAGCAACCACCCCCTGGGGCCGGGATCCAGAAGGCCCGGGGGCGGAGGGACACCGAGGCCAGGCCGGGTCCGATCGGACCACTCACCAAGGCCCAGAGGACGCCGCCGTCGGACCGGCCGCCGCCCCCCCCCCCCACGCCGGCCGCCGTCGGACACGCCGCCCCTCCCCCCCAGGCCGCCGCCGCCGCCCCTCCCCCCCAGGAAGCCGCCGTCGGACCCGCGGCCGCCCCAGGCCGCGCGCAGGCGCGGGCCCCGCCCGCCACCGCTGCCAAGGCGGCCCCGCGGAGGCGCGGCGCTCGGCGGCTCTCTGGAGACCGCCGGCCCCGCGAGTCTCGCGTGTAAACAAGTCACTTCACATTCTGCGCCCGCCCTCGGTGGCGGCTCCGTACCGTGGGGGCCGCAGGAGGGCGAGCCCGCGCGTCTGCACGCGGGCCCGCCTCGAGGCCCGTCGAGGATTAAGGCAATGAGCAGGCTAACCAGGTCGCCGGTGGGCGGGGCGATTGCGCATGCGCGGGCGGCAGGTGCACACGGTGCGTACGCGCCGCGGCGGGAGCACCGAGTCCTCGGCCATCGCGGCACGGACGCGCGGACGAACCGATACCTGATTTCACAGACAGCAGGGGAGTCCGCCTGGCATTTAAACACCGCGGGCCCCGGCGCACGCGGGGTGGGGGTAACTAAGTGGGAGGGCTGCCCCCGTACCGACGGCTCCGTCCCGCTCGCGCGCGGGCCCCGGAGGGGGGGCGGCGATTCCCGGGCCCGCGCGCGGGTGGGCGGCTTAAGACTGGCTTCCGTGGGCCGCGGGCTCCGCGTGCAGGCCCGGCCCGGGCGCGGCCAGGCGGCACAGGGACACCACCTCCCGGAGCAGGCCCCCGGCCTCCGACGGCGTCGGCGCCTCCGATGGGGCCTCCGCCGGCGCCTCCGCGCCCGCCTTCTCCCAGGGCACGAAGGTGGACGGGCGTCGCCCCGGCGGGTCCTCGCCGGGCGCTTCCTGGGACTCGGGTTCGGGTCCCGGGGCCGCGGCCGGGGCGGCCGTCGGGCCGTGGGCGCTGCGCAGCCTCCGCGCCTCCTCCCGCACGGCGCACGCGCACTCGGCCAGGCCGGCCGAGGAGCCGCCCCGCCTCCGGCCCCGCGGCGCCCCGCCGCCCTCGTCGTCGTCCGGGCCCCGGCTCCAGTCCGCCGGGTCCCCCGCCGCGCCGCCGCCGCACAGCGCGGCCAGGTTGTTCTCGCTGGGGGCGTTGGATTTGTTCTGGAAGCAGAAACAACACGTGCTGTTCACCCTCTGACTCTGGTTCGAACCCCAAGCCCGACGACGGCCTCCTCCCCCTCAGCCCTGACCCCGCCCTGCCCTCCCCCCACATGGGGTCGGCCTGACCCCGCCCCCCGCCCTCCCTCCACACGGGGTCGGCCTTACCGCCCCCCCCCTCCCTCCACACGGGGTCAGCCTGACCCTGCCCTCCCTCCACACGGGGTCAGCCTTACCCCCCCCTCCCTCCACACGGGGTCAGCCTGACCCCCCCCACCAGGCTTGCTGGGCAGGAGCGGCCTTCTGATTTGCATTTCAATGTCACCTCTCCGACTCAAGCTAGGGCAGGAAAGTCATGGAAAGTTCCAGAGTGTCTTGCCACCAGCATGGTTGCCACTGCCCCTATTCTCTTCTAGGTCTGGGCCCCACTGAGCTGTGAGCGCGAGGCCTCTGCTTGCGGCCCCGCCCAGCTCCTCCCTGCCCCGCCCCTCCCAGTTCCTCCCTGCCCCGCCCCTCCAGGCCCCGCCCAGTTCCTCCCTGCCCCGCCCCTCCCGGCCCCGCCCAGCTCCTCCCTGCCCGGCCCCTCCCGGCCCCGCCCAGCTCCTCCCTGCCCCGCCCCTCCCAGCTCCTCCCTGCCCGGCCCCTCCCAGTTCCTCCCTGCCCCGCCCCGCCCCTCCAGGCCCCGCCCAGTTCCTCCCGGCCCCGCCAGGCCCCGCCCAGCTCCTCCCTGCCCCGCCCCGCCCCCGCCCCGCCTCTAAACGCCCTCCAGCCCGGAAGTAAGGGGAGCGTGGCGCGCGTCTTCGGCTGAGCCCCGCGAGCGGGAGGGTGAGGACGCTGCGGTTTCATCCTTTCCCGGGAGCGCAGCCTCGCTGCTGATGGTGCGCGGTGGCCCCGGGCGGGGACGCGCTGGGGTCCGCTCCCCCGAGGAGGGCGGGAGGAGCCGCTCACCGCGGGCTTGTAGTCGATGTCGTCCATGGATCGGAAGAAGTCCAGGCTCCGGGCGGCCGCCAGCTTGCCCTGGTCGGCGCTGTGCGTGCTCAGCGAGTCCAGGATCTCCCCGAGCAGGTCCATCTCGCCCGCCGCGCGCGGCCGCCGCTCCCCGGCCTCCCCCGACTCGTCGCTCTCGTAGAAGTAGGCCGGGGCCTCCTCGCCGTCGTCGGAGGACAGCCTGCGGGAGGCGGCCGCCGGGCTGAGCCCACCCTGGCTCCTTTCCGCCAGGGTGGCCTCGAACCCTCGGCCACGCACGCGGTCCCACCCCGGGCTGCCCGCCGCCCCGCCCGCACCTACTTGCTGGCTCGCTCCATGATGTCCTCGTCCAGCACGGCGCCGTCGGGCCTCCGCGCGCGCACCTGCGGGGTGGACAGCAGCTCTCAGTCCAAGGGACGACGGGAGAGAGACCGGCAGGGGACGCCCCGAGCACCGGCTCCCCACGGGCCAGACTCAGCAGCGCCCCCCCATTCCCTCAGCCCTCCCTGCCTTCTCCCCACGCCAGGGCTCCTCCATCCGTGGTCACTGCTCCCCTAACCAGCGGTCAGGGCTGCATCCGGGGTCACACTCCACACAGCCTCAAACCCCAGACGGCTCTCCCCTCCCCCACAGGCACCTCACCACCAGGACAACGTCGTGCTTGTCCCCCATCCCCAGGGCTGGAACCCCAGAGCCAGGGCGCGCTCCCCCTTAGCTTTGTCGCTCTAGGATGGTGCTCTGCCACTTGAGCATACACCTTCAGTTCCAGCTTGTTGCTGGTTAACAGGAGACCAGAGTCTCACAGGCTTCAAGGCCTGGGCTGGCACTGAACTGCGATCCTCTGATCTCAGCCTCCTGGGTGGCTAGGATGACAGGCGTGAGCCACAAGCGCCCGGCTGCCTTAAGCATTTTTAACAATTATACCTATCAAATTAATAAGTATTCTTTAATATCTGTTACTCAGATGTATTCCCTTTTACTACACAAATATTATTTTGGGGGTTTTTTTGGCCCCAAATCCCAACACTAAGGTTAATGCTGTCTTTGGTTGACAAGTCTCTCCGGCCTCTTTTGGAGACCAAGCACCTCTCAATGCCTGACCTCAGCTTTTCCTGCAAGCTGGCCGCTACATCTGGAGGCCTGACTTCCATTTCTCTGCTTGGTCTTTGTCTGGTCTCTTTTTTTTTTTTTTTCCAGGGCTGAGGACCGAACCCAGGGCCTTGTGCTCGCTGGGCAGGCGCCCTTCTGCTGGGCTAACCCCCCAGTCCCATCTGGTTTCTTCCTAAACAAGCTGTAGGTAGTGAGATGTTTGTCAGCTGGTCAGCTGGCACCTTGCTATCCAAGTGTGGATGCTAAGATTGATGGCTTTGGATGTGGTTGGCTGGTCTGCCAGCTATAAATTTCCTTGCCAAATTTTCACTAGATGTTCCTAGTATCTTAGGATGAGTCCTGGTTAAGTGATTATCACCTTAGGACCTGAAGAGTTGTGCTTTTCTGGAACATTACTTCTATACTTCACTAACCTTCTATAATGTCAAACTTCACCTTGTAGCTGGGCGCTGGTGGCTCACGCCTGTAATCCTAGCTACTTAGGAGGCTGAGATCTAAGGATCACAGTTCAAAGCCAGCCTTCTGGCAAAACTTCCAAACCCAAATTCAGTCTTTAGTTTCTAAAGTCAGGTCATTATTACTGCATCAGATGTGCGTAACGACCTGCATTTAACTCTTTGGAGAACACGGAAGTACACCACACCAATAGACCAGCACGGCCATTTTCAGGGTGCCTGAAGCACGGGGAAACACATTCATCAGTCCTTCAGCCTGCTGTGGGCTGGGTGCTGGGGCACCAGGAAGAGCAAGAGCAGGGCTTCCTGCACACATGGGCATTGCCCTCTAGTAAGCCAGACAGGAGTAAACAAAGCACACAAGCAGGCCTAAAAGTTGTGACCGCAATTAACGTGTGCTATGGTAGGAGTGGAAAACGTCTGAGTTGAGCTCCAAAGGGGCAAGAAGACTGTGGCGCGGGTCCGGGGAGAGGAGGCGATACTGTGCACAGCTCCAGGGATGGAGACACGGGTGACTGGTGCGTGCCCACCTTGGACAACTTAGGTGACTGCACAAGGTTCCCTGAGGAGTCTCGAATGTCCTGCAGTTCCCCTGCAGGTCACTAGGTGGCAGCACACACTAAACGGGCTCAAGGGGATCCGTCCATGTTTGGGGGCTTCTAAGGATTGTGCAGATGGAGATCCCAAGAGAAGCATGGGCGCTGAGAACTTCATAGAGGAAAGTGGGCCTGGTCTGGGTCCTGGAGAGCACCACCTAATCAAGTGCTTCCGGAGAACCTGCTCCTGTGCCCGCCCCGTGGAGGTAAAGCAGTGGCCACCTCTGTTCTGCAGTTCCTAACCTCTCTCTACTCCACAAGCTCTCACTAAGCACTGCTGCGTGCACACGATGGTCTCCTGCACTAATGTCTACTGCATGCACACAATGGTCTCTCCTGCACACGATGGTCTCATATACTAATGTCTACTGCGTGCACACGATGGTCTCATATACTAATGTCTACTGTGCACATGATGGTCTCATATACTAATGTCTACTGCGTGCACATGATGGTCTCATATACTAATGTCTACTGCATGCACACGATGGTCTCTCCTGCACTAATGTCTACTGCGTGCACACGATGGTCTCATATACTAATGTCTACTGCGTGCACACGATGGTCTCTCCTGCACTAATGTCTACTGCATGCACATGATGGTCTTCCATGCACTAATGTCTACTACGTGCACACTATGGTCTCTCCTGCACTAATGCCTACTGCGTGCACACGATGATCTTTCATGCACAGCATATACTCAATGGTCTTCCACCTACTAAACGCCCATGGCATGCACACAATGGGCCTCCTTGCTGTGAGGCATATGGAAGAAATGGAGAACATATTCCTTCCCAGACACTTAGGAATTATCCAGCCGCAACCCCAGCACTGGCCATCTGAGAGCTGCGTAGGAACAGTGCCGCTAGCAACCCTCCTGCACAAAACACTTCATAATCATATTTTCATCGTTTTTTTTTTTTTTGGCAGTCACTTGAACTCTGGGCCTGGGTGCTGTCCCTCAGCTATTCAGCTTAAGGCTAGTGCCCTGCCACTTGAGCCACAGCGCCACTTCTGGCTTTTTCTGCTTATGTGGTGCTGAGGAATCGAACCCAGGGCCTCATGCATGCAAGGCAAGCGCTCTGCCACTGAGCCACCTTCCCAGCCCTATTTTCATCACTTTTGACAAGGCATTGGAAGTGGGATGGGAGCCTGGCTGCCACAGTCCTCGATCAGAACACACACACACCTGTAAAACGAGGTTTTTCTTGCATGAAAACATAGAATGCAAGGCACGCATCTAGCCTATGTGAGCATCCTGGAAGTGAGCACACCTGAGGAGGGCTGCTGGCTACGTGGGGGATGGCGAGTTGGTGGAAAAGAAAGGCTGTCCGTGCGGACGCCAGTTAGGGGAGCGCCCGCGGGGGTCTGACCCCGGGCTAGGCACAGTCTGGCGTCGCTACCATTGCAGAGATACATCCTGCCTTTCTTTTCCTTCCAGTGGTTTCTGCCAAGCGTGTCAGACTCCGCAATGGTGAAGGCCGCCACTTCCCCGTGGTTACCAAGCAGAGGCTACCTTGTCATTCCCATTTCCATCACTAGATGGCAGTCCAAGACTAGCCAGCACCAAGGTAATCTCCCGAGGGTGGGTGAGGGCTGCTGGCCCTGCGAGGTGTGCAGCTTCCCTGGTTTAGAAGCACGGTCCTTGTGCTGTCCACACGTGGGGGCTGAGGAAGCCCGAGATCTGTGGAAAACCCTGAGTTCACAGTGCGTGGTGCGGCCCGTACAGACCGACAGACGGCGGAGAGCGGCGACGCGCACGACCAGCGCCCCTGAGACCCACGCGCAAGGACCACCCAGAAAGCGCTGTGGGCCGCGATGGCGCGCCGCGCTGCACTCCAGTCCCCGCCGCCACGGGCGCGGTGACTGCGTCCTGTGTTCGAGGAACTAGGCAAACAAACGCGCAGAGCCACGATGAGGGAGGCGGTCCAGGCCGAGCTGGCGAAGCCCGGCCGCGGCGGCCAGCGAGCAGGGCCTGGGCAGCCGCAGGTGCGCGCGCGGCGGGCGCGGGTCAGGACACGCGGGACACCGAGCGGCGCTCCGCCTGTGTCTCCCCGTCCACCCCCCCCCCCGGCTGTGTCCCCCCCACCTGTGTCCCCCCGCCTGTGTCCCCCCCGCCTGTGTCCCCCCACCTGTGTCCCCTCCGCCTGTGTCCCCCCACCTGTGTCCCCCCGCCTGTGTCCCCTCCGCCTGTGTCCCCCCACCTGTGTCCCCCCGCCTGTGTCCCCCGCCTGTGTCCCCCACCTGTGTCCCCCCGCCTGTGTCCTCCACCTGTCCCCCCTGCCTGTGTCCCCCACCTGTGTCCCCCCGCCTGTGTCCTCTGCCCGCCTGTGTCCCCCACCTGTGTCCTCCGCCTGTGTCTCCCCGCCTGTGTCCCCCCACCTGTGTCCGCCTGTGTCCCCCCCACCTGTGTCCCCTCCGCCTGTGTCCCCTCTGCCCTCCTGTGTCCCCTCTGCCCTCCTGTGTCCCCTCTGCCCTCCTGTGTCCCCTCTGCCCACGTTACGCCGCCAATGACCCCAATGGCAGCTTGTGTTCAACGACATTAGGTGGAGATCCGTCCTCTTACTTTACTAAACATGTCCTTGTATTCGATTTTTCAAAAATGAGGGAAGGGCAGAACCAACCTCCTTTATAGAACGCCTCTGACTGAGCAGGCATTAGGAAATTTAGTTTGGTAAAATGCATTATCAGAATCAACCCAGAGACACAGTCTCTTCAAATTCATGTCTCTGTATAAAGCTCCATCCAACAGCGCCGGGCTCTTCAGGCCTCGGGCGGGGCCAGTGGACATGGGGCCTGTCGCATGGTCAGGGAGGGAGAGCAGGCCATGGACTCCCAGCTCTCCGTATTCACCTGTCAGGATAGCTGCAAGCTCCAACATTCTATTCTTTTCTTCTTTTGTGCTGGTGCTGGGGCTTGAACCCAGAGCCCTGCATGCCTGCTGGCCTTTTCATTCAAGAGTGGAGCTCTCCCACCTGACCACTGCTCCAGCTTTTTGGTGGTTATTTGGAGATAAAAAATCTCAGGAAGTTTTATGCCTAGGCTGGCTTTGAACTTCAATACTCAGATCTCAGCCTCCCTCGTAGTCATGATTATAGGTGTGACTCCCCCGCCCCCCGCCCCCCACACCTAGCTCAAGCTTCTACCCCCCGGTCCTAGGGCTGGTTTATTGGAGAGAAGAATCTCAGAGTCTCTCCTACCCAGGCTGGCTTTGAACTGTGA